AGAGTTACTAAGGTTTTCGAATAATGCTCTTGTAGCGCCTCTACTGAGATAAATCGGAATCAAAATATGTCGTCTGCTATCGCGTAAACAACTGTAGTTGACAGCAAAAGTGTTTTGATCACGAAGTGGTTTTGATAAAATATTGTGTAATAAATAAATAATAAAATAAATATTGTGAAATATTAAATAAAAAAAAAAATTAAATCTGATTCCACAAAGTGCAAATCACATATCTTATCCTTTTTTGTCAATTTTGGTTTTTTTCCAATGCCAACAATAGCACTCGACCAACTTAACAAACTTTCATTCTATAATAGGAAAGCATTAAAAAATAAAAAACACTTCGGAAATAATTAAAACTCTAATGATATAATATTAACAATAATAAAACAATAATAAATAATAAAAATTAAATACTGTTCGAGCCGAAAAAAAAATTCGATTTTCTCCATTTTTTTCTTCTTTTGTAGTTATTTTTGATCCACATCCTTTTATAAAACATGACATTTCACTGATAACATTAACAAAGCACAAAGTGCAAGCGCGAAACACCGGTTCAAGACAATTTGTCAGCACATGCGAGCACGTGATAAATTTTAATTCTCTATTTCTCCACGCGCGGCGTCCTCATCGCATTATTAGAAAAATGCGTAAACTCTAGGACACGATTTTGGGGCTCACTTTCACCACAATCTACTATGGGCGTTACGTCTCCTTATACTACTTCGTGGTGGCAACCCTGGTTTTCACCGTGTGGATAAATTAAATCTTCCGAGAGGTTAAAGTCAGTAGATACTTTCTGCGTCTGCGCAGAAGCTGTAAACAAACATTCTGCGCAGACGCAGAATATATATCTACTGCCTTTAACCTCAAGGAAGATTAAATTTATCCGCCCGGTGAAAACGGGCTCTATAAGCCTGCACGGAAAAAAATTTTCTGGTAATTATTTAACGTCGATTTAGAGATTTTACATGTTCCTAAATCTGTTAATTCTACAGATATTTTCTGCAAGGATTTAACGCATGCGCGAAAACAATGCAGTGATTCGACTAAGGCTGAGAACGATTGAGTGCGAGAGGTTAAGGCGAATTTAGTGTTTTTATTATTATCAGAGTGTCGGCAAGAAAGTTCAATTAAAAAGGAAACGTCTTAAGTATATAAACATTATTATAGAAATAAATTATTACAAATTTTTTATTTTAAAATTAACTGTAGTGATTAAGTGAGAAAAGTCGTTTGTTTCAATTTCTCGACATAAGAAAAAGTGGATTTATCATAAGTTTTGAAAACTTGCTCCTCATTTTTATTGTTAGAAAATTATTGAAGGATGAATTTATTTACATAGAAGTTATACTAATTTATACAATAATGTTCCGCGAATTTAATGTATTCGGAGGAGAATATAACCTATAAGAAATACTCTACCAAATATATATTATCCCCATATAGTATACATAATTTGGTCACTCAACAGTTTTTAAGAACTGTAGCTCAAACTTGTAGAATTAACAGATTTTAATGCCAATGATTCTACAAATTTCTCTATTTGGAGAAACATCAGTAGATGGCGCAGGAGTTTCTGTAAATTCTACAGAAAATTTTTTTCCGTGTGGCTACACCGAGAGCCTACCAGGAACATTAAATTTGCGATGCTCAGGCGTATTGTATTAAACAAGTAGATTATATTCGTGTCTGCGCAGAAGGTTTGTGTACATCCGCGACCATGGTTGCGATAGTGACAGGTTAGAAAATTTTGCTGACTTTGGTTTTCTAACCTGTCCCTATCGCAACCATGGTCGCAGATGTACACAAACCTTCTGCGCAGACACGAATATAATCTACTTGTTTAATACAATACGCCTGAGCATCGCAAATTTAATATTCCTGGTAGGCTCTCGGTGTAGCCAGGCTCAATATATACTAAATACTAAGAATATATTCTAATTTTAAGAATATTACACGCTGAATTTAAGTGTAAAATATTCTAAAATATAGGTTCCAAGTATCCTATATTCTAAATTTAAGAAAGCACTAAGGATAATTTTTTACCACCTATAGCAGTTTATAGGTTAAATAATAATTTTGAAATATAAGGATCCGTTAAAATAAAAATTCTGTTATAGTAATTTGAAGAAAGAAAAATTTGTTTGAAAAATAATTCTATCAAATGAAATTGTAACAAATGAAAATCCACACTAATGAATTAAGCCTTATTTATAAGTCCCTTCGAAAGTAATTATTCAAGTGAAAATTTTTTAACTTGAAGTACGCAACGTTTATGATAAACGATTTTTAAAGATATAATTTTTTAAAATGAAAAATTCTATAATTGAGCTACCAGATCAAAGAAGGGCACATAACCCATTTGAATTACATTAGTTATGTGCCCTTTTTTGATACGACAGCTCAATTTTTTTTTAATTTGTTGATTAATGAAAACTACAAGAAATATTTTTTTACCTCCCTGGACTCGGCTTCGACGCTCAGCGCCGAAAATTGTTTTTCGCAGAATCAAAAATTTCAAATTATTTTTTTTTAATTTTTCAATTCAAATAATACCTTGAAAAATACTTCTCAAGGCATTGTGTGGACCAAAAATCTTTTTAAAAAATTTTTTGATATTTTTGATTCTGCGAAAAACAATTTTTGGCGCTTAGCGTCGAAGCCAACTTCAGGGAGGTATTTTTTAGGAGACAAATTATACAATTTTTAATTTTAAAAAATTATTTCTTTAAAAATCGTTTATCATAAACGTTGCGTACTTCAGCTTCGTAAATTTTACACATTATAATTATTATTGATTCCGTAAAAATTCTAAGCTCTTAAATTCTAATTCTCTTAGTAATTTAACTTAATGATTACTAATAAAAAAAAGTAAACCATAAAAAAGCAAGTAATTATTGTACGCATACAAAATATACTCATAAATATTTTTTTTTTTTTAATATCTACTTATAAATATAATTTAAAAAGGAAAAAAAAAATTCGCTTGAAAAATCAAGAAATATTTCTGAAACTTTATATATATATATATACATATATATTTGAACTAGAAAAAGTTTTAAGATCTAAAAATGAATAAAAGTATATGGGAATTCTTGCATGTCATTCAACGCTTTTAGTTTCTCTCAGGAAGGGACGAGCATGCCTTTTATCCGGTAATAGTTAAGAGAAGCCCTTGCACTGCGCTTACCACACGACGAGGAGAACAATATATTCAAGGGAATAAATAGAAGCCTATCTATGGTCTACTTAATATAGTATATATATATTTATATATGTTACAGTCTAGACTGATATAAGAATAGTATGTACACATGAGAAGGTCCTTGAAAGTCAAGACAATATTTACCACCAAACACATATATACACAATATGTGTTTGGTGCGAAATTTAATGTGTCCACACGTGTTAAAGGCTCACGCACGTGACTTTAACACTAAAGTCAAGAAGCCAGAAAACACGATATGGTCAATATTTAAATGTAAAAAAAAGAGGTATAGATTTTAAAACCATATTTCCAAATCTGACGCAACTGAAATCTTCTTTATTTACTCATTTATATGACCAACACTTTTATTATCACCAATTCGTATATATTTTTTAAAAAAATAATTTTTTAAACTTAAAAATATTTTTAGGTTATGTCAAAATAACTCAAATTTCTGGTAACTAATTGAATTAGTCCAATGTTTTTTCAGTTATTTTTGTATTAAAAATTAGATACTTTTTCTAATAATTAGTTATTTTTTTTACTAATTGAAGAAATAAAAAATCATCCAAGATTTCACTGACTAGTTATTTTAAACTAATTCATATATTTACAAACTCATTAAAAAATGTTTTAGTAAAACAGTAAACAATTTTATATTTTACACTTTCAACTATTAGGCTGCTTCCACAATAACTAAATCGCATCGTCTTGAAGATTTTTAAGACGAGACGATGCGCGCGCATCCATTGCCAACTGTCGCCAAAAAATTCATTTTACGTATACTAAAAATTAAAAAAAAAACATTGTACCTAGTAAGATATGAAATTTTTATTATTTTTAAGAAATCAAATTTTTTATAATTCCTATAATATTTACAAGCTGAAGTGACAGGATTAGTGGATTCCGTGAAATGAATTTTTTGGCGACAGTTGGCAATGGATGCGCGCGCATCGTCTCGTCTTACAAATCTTCACGACGATGCGATTTAGTTATTGTGGAAGCAACCTAATAATTGAAAGTGTAAAATATAAAATTGTTTACTGTTTTACTAAAACATTTTTAATGATTCTGTAAATATATAAATTAGTTAAAAATAGCTAATTGTTAGTCAAATCTTTGCTGATTTTTTATTTCTTCAATTAGTAAAAAAATAACTAATTATTAGAAAAAGTACCTAATTTTTAATACAAAAATAACTGAAAAAATAGTTACATTGGTCTAATTCAATTAATTACCAGAAATTTGAGTTATTTTGACATAACCTAAAAGAAAAAATTTAACTAATAAAATTTACAGAGTTTTTACTTAAAAATAAAAAAAAAATTTTAGTTGGCCTAATTTCAAAAACCTACAAATTTTACTTTTTTGCCAGTTTTTAAAACATTAAAATGGTGGATCCAATATGGCGGATGAATTTTTAAAATTTATTAGATTTGCAAAAAATTGTGAACTTTAATAGACCTAAGCACACAATATAAGTTCATTAAAGTCAAAAATACTTCTTGTAAACAAAACTTTTATCAATATAATTGTACAATTTCTTTTTATAACAAAAATCAAGAAAGTAGATTGATCTTTATTCTTCGTAAGATTTTATCTTTGAATGATTAATCGTTCGCCACACACAAAAAAAAATATTAATGATTCCATATACAGAAACACATGTTCTGTTTAAAAAAACAATAATAAACGTTATAAGGTTTATTGTCCTACAACAAGAAATATTGAAGAGGGGAGGGGGGAAGGGAAATAAAAAATGAAACATAAACAAAGTTAAATGACTCACCGGCAATCCGGAGAACAGCCCTATCTGCAGGATCCAGCTGGAGGATGCTGAGGGGCTTGTCCTTGGCCCACTCCTTGAGGCTGCCATCCAACTCGAACTCCATAATCCTTCCTCCTTCACAGAATCTTCATCATATTAAATCCTAATTCAACTCGCTCGAGTTCCTTAGGACTCATCATATTATAACTTCAATAATTCACAGGTCATTCACACTTTTTTTCAATCACTTTTTATTATATCACCACTGAAACAAAAATTTTAATTTTTCGATTACCAAATAACACAATACACTTTTATTCTATTACTATATTGATATTCGCAAAAAGCACTTTATAATTTCATAAATAATAAAAATCACACGTGGATTATTGTGAGAGTTTAAAAACCGGATGTAGCATTTCTAAATTCTAACGGTTATAAATATTAAATTTTTACATTATAGTGTAAAATTCATTTTATTTTTTCCTTTTTCTTTTAATATAGAAGAATTAAAATTGGTGCAACCAAACAACGCGCGATTTTACGTGAGAGTCAGTATAAGCGAGAAGCCGACCCTCCAGAGTGCATTCGATGACTCTTCGCACTGGGTTTGTTATGGGATAAAAGCCGGGTTTCACGTTTCCCCTCTTTGCCGTTGGGAGCGCTCACCGAGAAGGCGATTCAGAGTAACACTCACCAGACACCAGGCGATTCCCGTCGAGCCCCACCTGCCTCTCATGGAAACCCAACACACAATCATGCGGGAGATCCTGTCAACTCGTCTTCCGGATATCACTTCAACAATAACACCCTACACAACATGCAATATTTTAAAAAATGGATTTTTTAACATAGTCATTTTTTAAATTGGGGTACAATGAATTCCAAAATGAATGTTCCAAACCGAAGGGTTCCAAATTTAAAAGGCCAAAAATTTAGTTTTCCAAAGTATATACAAAATGACCAAAGCCCAAATTGTCCAAAAAGTATAAAATATATCAAAGTATATTTATACTTTTGGATATTTTGGGTTTTGGCGATTTTGTATACTTTGGAAAAATAAATTTTTGACCTTTTAAATTTGGATCTTTGGTTTGGAACATTTATTTAGAATTTATTGTACCCCAATTTAAAAAATTACTACTATGTTAAAAAAATCATTATTTAAAATATTGCATGTTGTGTAAGGTGTAATTGTTGAAGTGATATCCGGAAGTGTGTGCTTTGTGTACGGGGTACTTTACAAAGAAAAATTTTTTAAACTGTAAAAGAAATTAAGAGTAGTAGGTATCAATTTGGGTTGCAACGTTCTGATAACCATAAGTTATATTAACGATTGGGGTGCAAAAGTTCCAAGAATAGTTAGTTCCAAAAGTACAGAAGTTCCAAGAGAAAATTTATTAAAAGTTCCAAAAAGTTTTAAAATGTTCAAAAATGTAAAATGTGTTCAAAAAGTGTCAAAATGTTTAAAAATATGTAAGATCTGTCCAATTGCTTTCAAATAGTCAGTAATTTCATTGTTTTCAATACTCTCTAAATCTGAATCAGTCATATTTCACTGATTAGCAGTAGAAATCTACTAATTGCCATAGCGAGAATTGAGCAACTGATAATTAGTAGAAATTTACTGATTCAATTAGTAAAATATCAATTACTGATTGAATCAGTAATATAAATATATGGCGGCGGCCGCAAAATCTACTGATTTAATAGTTAATTTTAAAGGTTATGTTATATACAAATTATTGTTTTACATAAGTTATTTTCTATTGCTTGTATATTCACTAATTATATTAGTAAATTTCAAAAAATAACTGAAACTTCAGTTAAAATGAAAAGTACTGATTGAATTAGTCAAATTTCTACTGATTCAGATTTAGAGAGTACGTTCTTCAAATTTTGAGACAATATTGAAAATTCTGTCCTCAACACACGTTGTTGCCGATTTGTGCGGTTTTTCTTAATTTTCTGCCCAAGACTTAGTTTTTTTCACACTTCAAAATCAAATTAATATTATTCTCGATAGTCAGCAAAAAATCAATTCATAAACTTTTTAGAAACTGCATACCGTCCATGAAAATTGTACATTAATAACAATTTTATGTATCAAAAAAATAATCCAAATAATGATGATCAAGTTGATACCACTTATGGGTATCAAAACGTTGCATAATTTGATCCAAATTTTAGAATCAAATTGATACCTTCAGGAAAACTGTGTATAAACGACGGAATCAGTATTATAAAAGGTTAAAAAAAAAATTGTCGTATACCCTTTAGCGTACACCATATACCATTTCGAATTTTTAAAAAATTAAATGTCATATCCGTATCCATTTGATTCACTAATTAGTGAATCAAAAAATGCATTTAATTCACTACTTAGTGAATTAAATGCATTTTTTTAAACTTTAATTTTTGTTCTCCTCAGAAAAAAAAGAGATAAAATTTTCTATTACGCTTGGTAAACATTTTTGGGGTCTATGGATACGGATATGACATTTAATTTTTAAAAATTCGAAATGGCATATGGTGTACACTATAGGGTAGGACGATTTTTTTTAACCTTCTATATAATACTAATCCCTCCATTTAGTTATGCCTTTTCGAGTTAATCGAAATTTTTCCAAAAACATTTTTGTAACCGAAGGTATATAGAGAATGTTGGAAGATCAGATGCCCAAACAATCAGAGCCGTCTAAATGGTTAGGGGGACATATTTCACTTAATCTATTTTTCCCAATGGGAAAAACTCCCAAAGCTATTATTTTCCTAACGCATCAGACTTTTCCAGCCTCTTATTTTTCCCCCCTTTTTATATGTTCCTATAAAACTTTTCCCAATTCACAATCTCGATATACCTCACCGAAGAAAAATGTATGGACAGTAATTTAGGAAACGAACACAATAAATTAGGACGCATGAATATTGTTTAAAATTTAATTTGTTAACATTTTGATTTCATAGAATTTTATCAAATAGAGTTTTCTTTTAGCCGAATTTTCATTTGCTCAACTTATTATTTGGTAGAATTTCCATTTAACCGAATTTTAATATTACAGAATTCTTACTTAACCGAAAATTCATTTAACAGAATTTGATCAAATTTTCATTTGACAGAATTTTCATTTGTTCGAATAAACATTCGACAAAAACTTTTCGGCGAAAATTTATAAACTTAACCAATCAAATTTTTTTTGAATAATTTATGATTGGTTAATTTTATCAGTTTTGCGCCGAAGAGTTTCTGCCGAATGTTTATTCGAACAAATGAAAATTCTGTCACATGAAAATTTGATTAAATTCCGTTAAATGAATTTTCGGTTAAGTAAAAATTCTAGTAATATTAAAATTCGGTTAAATGGAAATTCTCTCAAATAATAAGTCAAACAAATGAAAATTCGCCGGTTAAAAGAAAATTCTAACTAATGAAATTAAATCAAATAAAAATTCTAACAAATTAATTTTAGGCATTATTCTCACAGTCATTTGTTTATTCGTAGCAAAAAAAATACTGTTACCATTCAAATGAAATGCGATCAAAAATAATAATTTAACATAAATATTTCTTATATTTTTTTTTAATTTTTCTATATATTTATGACATTACTTACAATTAGTTGCAAACTTACAAACTCGTTTCTTCCCTTGTTTCTTTCTACTCTACCCCTCTTATTTTCTACATAGTCATTAAGCCGCACAAAATCGGGGGAGCTGTATACGTTCAACCCTAACAAGGTAGAAGTAAAGAAAATTTCGTTTCTAACTCAACAAATTATTTAGTGGAATTTAATAAATTTTGTTTAACTCAACCAGTAAAAACTGAACCAGCACTAAAAGTATTTTTTTACAGCATCTAGCGGTTTAAAAATTAAATTCACTTTTAGGTTATGTAAAAAATAAAATTTCTGGTAATAAATTCAATTAGTAAAATTTGACTTATATTTTTTTAGTTGTTATTTTTTACTAATTCATGAAATAAAAAAATCAGCCAAAAATTTTACTATAATTTAACTAATTCAGATTTAGAAAACAGAATAAAATATTTCGTTTTACACTTTTAAAATAATAATATTATTTGTAGAGGAAATTTTTATAGCAAGATAAAAAGATATGAGAAGTTAATTAAATTCTAATTCATTTACCCTTTCCTCTTTAATTTTGTGTTTTAACGAAGGTAAAATAGAGAAACAAGGGAGAAGAGAAGAATGAAAAAAAAAGAAAAATGAGACTTGCCGACCCAATGGTAAGTCTGACCCGGAAGAGTTGACGGTTACGTCACCGAGAGCTACTGTCACATGAACCTTCATCCTACACTGCAATTAATTCCTGCATTTGCAACCAACTCGTATGACAAGATCGTTCAGACAATAGGACAGCGACTTTCATTCATAGAGTACATAGTGAATTTATATTTATATTTTGAAAATAGAAATTCCGTTTCTTTTTGAGAAAAACAAAAATATAAAAAAAAATTTTTTGTTTACCCTCTAAATTTAATTTAGTAGAAAAATTTTTAACTAATTTGAATTAGTGACTCAATTTTTGTTTTTGAATTCGTTAAATTTTACTAATTCGATAGTAAAAGAATTTGTTTTTACTATTATTAACCCATTAACGCCCATGCTTATAGACACATGGAAATATTTGCAATATCAAATTTGGAAACAGGACTGCGGTTCAAACAATGACTTTTGACGTTAAAAATTGTTTAAAAAATAATTTGTTTAAACAAATTGTTATAAACAAATGAAAAAAATTGAAGAATTTAAAAAATCTAACAACGCCATTCGATTCTACGGAAAAATTACTAAAAAAACATATATGACTTTTTTAACATTTTCACTCTATTTGTTATAAATAATTTATAAACAAAAAATGCACTGTGATGCAGCCATCGGAGCCCATGATTTGACACACGGAAATATTTACAGTATCAAAATTGGAAACAGGAGTGCGGTTCAAACAATGACACTTGACGTTAAAAATTGTTAAAAAAATAATTTGTTTAAACAAATTGTTATAAACAAATGAAAAAAATTGAAGAATTTAAAAAATCTAACAACGCCATTCGATTCTACGGAAAAATTACTAAAAAAACATATATGACTTTTTTAACATTTTCACTCTATTTGTTATAAATAATTTATAAACAAAAAATGCACTGTGATGCAGCCATCGGAGCCCATGATTTGACACACGGAAATATTTACAGTATCAAAATTGGAAACAGGAGTGCGGTTCAAACAATGACACTTGACGTTAAAAATTGTTAAAAAAATAATTTGTTTTTTAAATTCATTAATTTTTTTCGTTTGATTATAACAATTTGTTTAAACAAATTATTTTTTAAACAATGTTAAACGTCAAAAGTTATTGTTTGGACCGCAGTCCTGTTTCCAATTTTGATTTTTCAGATATTTCCATGTGTCTTAATATGGACTCTGATAGGTGTACCACAGTACATTTTTTGTTTATAAATTATTTTTTATAACAAATAGAGTCAAAATTTTGAAAAAGTCATAGATATTCATTTAGTAATTTTTCCCGCAAAATCGAATGGCTTTGTTAGAAATTTAAAATTCATTAATTTTTTCCATTTGTTTATAACAATTTGTTTAAACAAATTATTTTTAAACAATTCTTAACGTTAAAAGTCATTGTTTAAACCGCACTCCTATTTCCAATTTTTATTTTTCAGATATTTCCATGTGTCTTATTATGGGCTCTGATGGGTGCAACCACAGTGCATTTTTTGTTTATAAATTATTTATAACAAATAGAGTAAAAATTTTGAAAAAATCATATATGCTCCTTTAGTCTCCCTATATGCTCCTTTTTTTCCCGTAGAATCGAATGGCGTTGTTGGAATTTTAAAATTTATTAATTTTTTTCATTATTTTGTTTATAACAATTTGTTTAAACAAATTATTTTTTTAACAATTTTTAACGTCAAAAATCATTGTTTAAACCTTAGTCCTGTTTCCAATTTTGATATTGCAAATGTTTCCATGTGTCTAAGCATGGACATTAATGGGTTAATATTATACTAATAAGTTCAATTTTACTAATTCAAAAGCAAAAAGTGAATCGCTAATTCAAATTATAGTTACAATTTTTAATAATTCAAATTTAGAGTTTCGAATTTAGAATTCGAATTTAGAGAAACACTACACTGAAAAAAATAATTATTAGATTCAAATATTCGGTTACTTGATTATTATCAAATAAATATTTACTTGAAACAAATAATTTTTATTTGAAACAAACTAAATAGTATTTGTTTCAAATACAGAAATTATTGGTCCACATACAATTTATTTAATTCAAATAAAAATTATTTGGTTCAAGTAAATATTTATTTGATAATATTCAAGTAACCGATTACTTGAATCAAATAATTTCTTTTTTTAGTTTAGAAACCTTATTTTGTGAACTATTTGAGGGCTTTCCACTAAACAGGGATTCTTAATTAATTAATACATTTATTAATATTTATTTATTTATTGAAAAATATACGAAAAATATATTATAATTAATATTATTAAAAATTATTTTTAAAAAATATGAATTATAATATATTTTTCGTATATTTTTCAATAAATAAATAAATATTAATAAATGTATTAATTAATTAAGAATCCCTGTTCAGTGGAAACCTTTCAAATAGTCCACAAAATCAGGTTTCTAGTGTTATTATTATTAAAAATTATTTTTAAAAAATAATAACTGATTTTTAAACGCACTTATTCATGCAAAAAAATGTTCCGAATATATAAAAAAGTATATAAAAATTTCTATCTTCAAAATTTATATCAATTGCACATTTTTAAAATAAAAGAAAAGAAGGTGCGATTATTTTTTTTTTTTTTGAAACATTATATACATATACATATATTCAGGGCATGGGGGGAAAGAAAAGGGGCCGGACTTGGCTTTTTATGAGAAACAATAAAATGGACGAGTAAAACTCGACGTACTCGTTTCATGACCTTTTGCAGCTCAAGAAATTACATAATTGTATTTTCTTTTGAACTCTTTGATAAATATATAATCTGAAGAATAACGAAAAAACCAGTTCGGGCGGAATCAGGGAGATAAAAAAAAAACAAAAAAAAAAAAAAAAAAGTTGCGGGGGAACAATAGGTCGTCAGCAAGCGCCGCAAGAAAAAAAAAGTCGATCTTTATAAAAGGGACAATGACCTCGATTTTTGCACATACACACATACGTATAGTAACAAAGATTTAATTTCCGATCTATTTATAGAAACTATCACGTGTGTCTCTCTATTACATAAATGTCGACAGTGAATATTCAGAAAACCAGAAATGCACATTGCAAATTCTTGCATTTTAAATTTAGAAACGTTGAATTTTAAATCACAATTTTTTTGACAAATACCAAATTTTTTTTTTAAGGCATAGAAAAAAAAATATTTTTTATTTAATTTAAAGAGAAATTTTTACAATATAATTAAAATTAGTTAATTTTTTATCAGGAGTTTCGATATTATAGTGAAAGAATTTAACCTCAAAATTTAAAAATAAAAAATAATTATTTTTTAATGTTCCAATTTTACATTACTTAAATTCCTCTAAAAACTATAAAATTTTTTTTTGAAAATAATTATAAAAATAATGTTGATAAAGTTCAAAAAAAAATTTTCATTTGAAAAAAAAAATTAATTTTATTGCCTAAAAATTTTTCTACAAAAAAATTGTTCATCAAGAAACGTTGAAAAAAAATTTGTTGATAAATGAAAATTATTTACTTATTATTATTATTATTGTTTGTTTTTCCAAGATCATAAACGTGAACTTTACTGTCGTTAAAAATAAAATTGAAATTTAATTATAATGTAAACAATATTAAAAAATTTTCAACATATTCTAAATTTTATTGTTAATTATATATCTTTGAATATTCACAAACAATGAAAAATGATTTTTATCTCTAAAATTATTATCATACACTTGCGGTAAAAGTAAACATTAAACAAATTTTAAGGTTAGGTTTGCAAATGATAATTTCTGTCAAATACAAATATTAGAAAAAAAAAATTCTGCTCTTTAGAGAGATAAAATAAAACACGAAAAATCAATTTAGAAAAGATAATAGGTTATCCACGTGTGAAATGAGGAAATTGAGAAATTAAAACAAATTTTAAATGTAAGAGTGAAAAATAAAAAGAAAATGCCTACATCGACTTTTATTTATACGAAAAGAAACAAAATGAATTTTTTTTCTATCACAAAATCAAAAAATTACATGTAGAAAATTTTCACTGCAATAAAATATTATTTTCTCTAGTGAAAAAAATAGTAATTGAATTAATCACTTATTTACCTGATGTTTATTTATGTTTCAATAATGTTGAGGTTATTGTTGAGAGACTACCGATTCACTTAATTGTCAGTGTTTACTCTGATGGCTAATACATAACTCATTTCGAGAAATACACGCAAACATGTCGAAACAAATAATATACACATACACTGTCAAATTAACGAAACACAAACATTACTTGGAAATCCATTTTTAGTAAATTTTCCTCTCTTCATATATTTATTAAAATCAGAAACACGATACTAAAAAAAAATCACTTGAGAAATTACAAAATATTTCAAATAATTACCGAAATATAATTACAGAACAAAAAATAAATAATCACACAAACTAATTAGATATTTCGTCAAATTAGATAAAAAAAAAATGAATTTCTTTTAAAATGGCAGTTCATTGACCTCTTCCAAAAACAAAAATATAACAATGCTCTAGTTACCTTACATATATTCCAATCCAAAAATTTCTCAAAAAAAAATCATTACAAAAATCAAAAATAATTTTTTAACCTTAAAATTGATTTTTGATGGACATATGTTATATTTCTAATAGCGAGGAAAATTTATTATAAACGTGTACATTTATTTGTGGGGACAAAAAAAGAAAATTACCTTGATTTACAATATCAAATATTTCCATTTAATATTTGTGATTCGTAAAAAATAAAGAAAATTTTAATTTTATTTTTGTCACTATCTTTCAATTTTTTGCACCCCGTTTGTGACGTTTCTCATTTATATAGATCATTTGACACACGGGCGGACGTTAAAACACCCCCCTCAAGGTAAAAATCAATGAACACACACCGGCTTTCTCATCGTCAACGACACAATGACCTATCCTCCATAGGGATGAAGCACTATTGATTTTCTTTAAATATCATTTAACATTAAAATTTGAAAATATTCATGCAAAAGAAATGACTGGTACTTTCTCAATATATTTCACTGATATCATTAACGACGACATACATTATCACTTATCGCGCCAATCTTTGCGTCACGAATGCGACCCGGTTCCATACAACGCGCCTAGCAGACGACATATTGCTTTTTCACGAGAAAACGCGAATCGTCGACGGAAATAAACGAGTAAAATATACAGGCGCCCAATTTACACAGGAGAAAAATTTTAATAAAAACTTTGATTATTTCATTTGGGGGGGGGGAGAGAGATTTTTACTATTTTTATATTGGATAAATGAAGAATAATTATATGAAAAATTTGTCACAATCATGAAATAGATAGAAAATGGATTATTTCTAACAATGACGTGATGGTCACGAAATTATGCTGATTTATATTTTAATATTATACATTTACTTACCTTTTATTCGTTGCTAATTTCTATTACATCTGAAAATAGTTAAACTAAAATACACTTTTGTTTATTTAAAATGATACTAGATTGAAAAATACTAATAGATTATTCATGAGAATCATTCCAAGTGAGTAGCTGGTGAGCAATAGACTTTGCGCGCGCGCGCATTATCAGGGTGCATTCACTATGGACAAAATTGTCTGATTTAAGGTGATTCTGCAATGCACTTGAATAATTTTTACTTTAAAATAATTGTGTTTTTAACACTTTCTCTTCATAATATTAGAAAAATATTGTTATAATCACAAGGAAACTGATAAATAATGAGATTTATAACTTTTAGGGGCGAAAAAAGCAAGTTTCACCCAATAGACGTTTCACATTACAGATGTTTTACTTTCTATATAGAACCTGTGACTGCACCCTGATTTACATTCAATATTCAAACGCGGGAAATAACCATAATTGTTTTCTTTCCTAAAAAGTTCATTTTCAAGAATTAATAATTTTTCAAAATGTAAATTATATTTCAGTTAATTGAAAACTGTTATTACCGTTTTTAATTTGTTATATAAAATTGTGTTAACTAAAATAAATACGATGTTGAAAAAAAAGGTTATATTGCCACAAGTTGTCAACAGCAAAATTTTAGTTATAGGTTATTTAATCCCTTAATTAATGTGTTATTAATGTATAATAATCGTATCGTAAAAAAAATAGCATTTTTAAAATTAAAATAAAGTATCTGTGAATATATCAAAAAAGGCGATCGGTAAGTCTTTTATCTTTTTTTTATTATTATTTATAATTAATATCTTTAATTTACTATTTTTTTATTTTGTATTTCGTTTTCGATGTTTTTTTTCAAAAACTGAATTTTTACATTTACATAATACTGTCAGATTTTATATTTTAATTTTTAAATCAAAAAATTTTAATTTATAATTGCTTTTTTTATTTTTTTCGAAATAAATAATAAATTTGTATTATTATTATTATTATTATTTATGGGGAACATTTTTTTTACATACCAGAATTTATAATTATTTAAATGTCAATATTTTGCTATTTTTGAATTTATTACGAAAATTAAAAATTCCTTTTTTTGAGCCTTAGGTAATTTTCTGAAATTAAAATAAAATATTCTAGTAAAAGTCATTTACCGTGTGAATAAAAAAAAAAATCTGAGGTTAAGGAACTCAATCGTTTCTATATAGAAAGCACAGAATGTAATCTCATTTTCATATAGCGTAACTTTCATTCATTTCTTTTACCTGTAATTTGAACCTAGTTTCAGTGACTTCACAACGACGTGTCATTAAATTAGAATTGAATGAAAAATGAAAATCTATTTTATCTTAATTATAGAAAAAGAACAAAAATTAATTCTTCAAAAGAAAATATAATTATAATTTACGAAATAATTTAAAACTCAAAAAAATAAATTTCGAAATCGTAAACATATATTTTAATTACAAACATTAACAAAATGCATTTATTTATATAAAAAACATTTTTACTAATTTTTTACTTCCTCTATAATTAAATATTACTCAAGTCCTTAATAAATTCAAATTAAATTTTCTTCTATTGTAAAATTTCAATAATTAACCAAGTTTATAATTAGTAATTAATTTACATTTTATTTTATTAATTTTTTTTTTTTGTTTATTTCATTATTTTTTTCTATTTTCAATTTTTAAAAATTAATTACCTACTGAAATCGAAAATAAAAAAATTTGAATTTTGTTTAAAATAAATTAGTGTACAAAAAAAATTCGTTTATTTGAATTTTTTCGAACTAAAGAAATATTCTAATTAACAGTAAGAGAGATAAAACAATTTGTACCTACATACAATCAGATTAAGAGAATAATATTTTGTCCTTGAATCAAAGTCATAAATATTAGACACGCTGTTTTACCACTTGAATTATTCGCAGCGTTCAACAAAAAAAAAGAAAAAAAAAACGATAACATTGTTAAAGCTATGAATAAAATTAAGAAAAAAAACTTTCAATGTTTCATAACTTTACTTCTTATTTATAAATATTGTCAACTCTTGAAAGAATTTATCAAAAAAAAAATCTAAAATTACAATAATAGAAAATAAATAATAAATTAAATTAAAAACAAAAATTTTCAGAATATTAATTATTTTTTAGTAAATTTTTATCAGAAATATTAAGAATAATTACTTAAAATGATACTTAAAATTAAAAATTAAAGTGATACTTAAAATATAAAAATGTATAAAAAAATGTAGATATAAAAATATAACTAAATATGAAAAATAAAAATCATCAAAAAAAAAAATGTAAATTAGAAACTTATGTGGAAAAAACGTTTTTCATTTTGAAAAGAACATTATTTTGTGTACTAAACGTTTTATCTCTCGCTCTTTTAAAAAAGAAAAGCAGAGGAAATGAAAAATTGTATAAATGAAGAGTTACATCTGTATTGTATAAAAGACGATGTAATTCTAAATAATTGTAATAGATTGAAATCAACGGCATGTAAATTAATTGTGAGATCACCGTTTTATATATATATAAAAGATGCTGGGATTTGTCAAACGGTCTCTCGATTATTTGCAATTCTTTGGTTGATGTCATTACTAAATAAAGCAGGTGACTATCGGTAAATCAAAGTCATTTATAAAGAGATCAAAGTTCTTACATCAGTTAAAAATCCGCCAATCTAATATACACACTGTCCTCGTCCTTTTATCATTCGCTTCTATTAATTCTTCTATAATACGCGTATATGTGTAATTAAATTATGTAAATTCGACTATTATTTACATAATACAAGACTAGAAAAATTAATCCACATAATTAATATGGATAGAAAAAAGAGATTATCTCTCGCAAAATCTGTTTTACATTACAATGTTTAACAGATTATTTATTTCTTTTTTTTTTTTTTTTTACTTTTTGCAACTTTTTCATCAGAAAAACAAGAATTTCTCTGGTAAATCCAAGATTTCTGGTACTAAAAAAAAAGAAATTAAAATTTAAAAATTATAATTTTTTTTTTATATTGAATTATTTACAAAGTAAATTACCGTTAAACAGTGTAAATTTTGGAATTTTTCAAAGCTTCTCTGACTTTCTTATCGTCACTCGTTGCTGCTTTTAAAACATATTCTAAATTATCTTGCATTGCATTTTTTTCTCTCTGCAATTTACCAATAATATCCTCCTTTTCTTTAATTAAATTTTTTAAACGTGTCAATTCTCGTGAATATTCGGCTTTCATTTGATCGGCGTCTAATTCTTGATTTTTTATATGTTTCTCCACTGTCTCCAATTGTTCCTTTGCACCTTTCTGTACACTCTAAAATGAAATTATATTAAAAAAAAATAAATAAAAACTCATATACAGGCCTCGGTTTGAGTTTAAGACACAAAAAAAGTCGTTTTAGTCGATTTATATTAAAAAAAAAATACCATTTTTTTTTATTTTAACAAAATTTAATTTGTTAATGAATATTTTACTTTTAATAACTAATATTATTAGATATTAAATTCATTTTATTAATTCTGTAATGAGAATAATTCTATAATGAATATTATCAAGAAAATTTATTTCGATAATTTCAAAATCGAACTAATTGTAAGACAAATTTTCAAAATTTTATTTAAACAGGAACAAATTTTCTAAAAAAAAATTCTTAAACTTCCATTTTTATAATTTTTTCAATTCTGATTTAAGCAATTTATTTGAATTAAAAAATTTTGTCATAGTTTTTAGTTTTGATGGTCAAAAAAATTTCAGGCAATACTTAATCAAGTTCTACAGATTTTTAAATAAATTTTTTTTTTTAAATAACAATTTTGGAATAGTTAAAGTTGAAAGTTTTAGAAATAATTGAATTTCAAAAAATTTTGTTAATTTTCAGACAATAATTAAATTTTACAGAACTAAAAATAATTTATCAAATAATTTTAGATGAGAGTTTTTTTTAAATAATTGAATTTTCAACGATTTACAATATGAAACTGAAATTACCAACGTTGATTCAATGAAAAAATAAAATTTAAGGATTCTAATTCACAGATTTTCCGAAAATCCCGAAATTTCAAAAAAATTTCTATTTCCCCGCCTTGGATGCAATTTTTCTGTTTTTTAAAATGCTTCTAAGCATTAAAATAAATAATTATCAAACAAGAAAAATTGCTTCCGAGGCGAGGAAATAGCAATTTACTTGAAATTTCGAGATTTTCGGAAAATCCGTGACAAAAAAATCAAAATCACTGCTTTCCCGGACTTGGAAGCAATTTTTTTATTTTTTTTAAAGGCTTCTAGCATTGAAATAAATAATTATCAAATGAGAAAAATTCCTTCCGAGACGGGGAAATAATAATTTTCTTAAAATTTCGGGATTTTCGAAAAATCCGTGACAAAACAATGATAAATATTGTTTTTTTTATTTCAGGTTTTAGAGGGTTGAAAATAATCAAATTTCATTGATAGGAATTAGAATCTTTAAATTTTATTTTTTCGTTAAATCAACGTTGGTAACTTTAGTTTCATTTTACAATTTAGATTTTTGAAATTAATTGAACTTCGAGTGATTTTAAATTTAAAATTTTTGATGATTTCACTAAAAAAATTTATTAGAAATTGCAGACAAAAATACAATAATTTGAAAACTCTTTAATTGAAAAATGCTTTCAAATAATTTTATTTACTAATTTTTTAAAAATTATAAACTATTATTATATTTCATAAAAAATTTTCATTGAAAAATAGTTTAAGATAATTGAATTTGTAAAGAATTTCAATAAAATTATTAAAAATAATTAATTTAGTGAAGAATTTTAGTTAAAAATTTGTTAAATAATTGAAATTAAGAGATCTGAAGAAGATCTACATTGTATACTAAAAAAACGTATTTTTTTTAAATTTTGTAAAAAAATGTAAAAAAAAGTCGAAAAAGTCACATTTCATTAAAATAAGTTGAAAAAAGTTGTACTTTTGAAAAAAAGGCGAAAAAGTCGCATATTCCTAGGCCTGTATGATAAGGATGTAAAAATTCTTAACAAATATCAAATTAATATTGTGGAAATAATTTATAGAAAATAAATAAATCAAAATTGTAGGAAATCAAAAATATTTAAAAAAAAAAAAAGGTTTTACTATACCTTTAACTGACTTCGTAAATTTCCCATTCTATGAGCAATATTATTACCTAAATATTGAATATTTTCATTTTCCTTCTCTCGCTCTTTTAATAATACAACTAATTTATCTTTTTCAATTAAAATTTTCTCTTGCTCTGTAACGAGTTCCTTACAAAATTCAGTTGTTTTGCTCAATTGTCTTTTCAATGATTCACGTGAAATTTGAATGGAACAAACTGATTTTTGTAGACGATCCAATTTTTGTTGCGTTCGTCTTTAAATAAAAGAAAATGATAAATACCAATTATATTTTGCAAACAAAAAAGACAATGTTTTGAATTTAATAACAAAATTTAAAAATTATTAAAATAAAAAATATATTTTAAATATTTAAAAAAAAAAATAAAAACAGTATTTTAAAATATCCATACTTGTAATTTTTCTCCAAACTTTTCAATTGTGTTCTCAATTGATCTCGCTCGGCAGTTACTAAAATTAATTGTTTTTCATTTTCCGGTTGTGATTCTTCCAAAAGTTTAATTTTTGATGTCATTTTCTTTTTATCATTCTCGTATTGATATTTTAATTCTTCGAATAATCGTTTACATTCTTCAACCGAGGCATTATGAACTGAAACTGGCATTGTTTTTTCCGAATTGTTTTTTAATTTTTCATAACCTTCATTTAAAATTTCATATTTGCCTTGAAGATTACTTAATTCAGCCTTACACGATAAATAATCTTTATGAAGTTTGTTGTTGTCCTGAGACATTGTTTCGACTTTATGTTCATAAACTGAATGAATTTCCTGCAATTTTTGCTTTTGCATATTAGTTTGTTTTGTCAAAAGATCATTTTGCTCTTTAATAACACCAGCATCTTCTTCTATTGTTTTCATCTCAAAAACATATCTCTCGCACTACAATAAAAATATATTTAGAAAATATTAATAAATTACATCAATAACTATTTGAGGTTAAATAATTGTTTTTTTTTTTCATTAAAAATGTACAGGACAAAAAATTGATATTTAAAAAAATATATATAAGACCTACTTTTTTCTAAAAAAAAAAATTTTTTTATAAAAAAAAGTAATTATGTAATATTTTTGAGAAATATTAATCTATGGATAATTAATAAAATATCAAGAATTTACTTTTGATTTTAACTCTTCAACCTCCTTAAAGAGTGATTCATTTTCACGTATAACTTCTTTACATTTTCCCGAAAAAATGTCAATTTCTTTCTCATATTTTTGAATAAGTTCTTCTTTCTCCTCAATATTTTCCTGATATGCATCCAATAGTGGTGCCAATGCATGTGAATTAATTTTACCCCAGGAATTAATTGATTTTTTTATTTCAACCTCAGAATCATGATTGGAAGCCGATGTTGTTGTACAACTTTTAAAATCAATATTTTGACTAGAATTTCTTAATTTATCTTGATATTTTTCTAATTCAACATTAAGCCTATAGACTAGATTTTTAAGAAGTGAAATATCTTCTTTGAGCTGTGCATTGTCAGATTTTGTTTTCTCCGTTATTATGACTAGATTTGATTGATCTTGTTCATTTATTTGAAATGCTTGCGTTAATTGTTCATGATGTGTATGTAATTCACGATATTCTTTATCCTTTTCATTTAAAAGAATAGATAATTTATTGTGTTCCTCGTATAATTCCTTATATTTTTCCTCTAATTTATGATATTTAATGCGAATTTTTGCTAGTAATTGATTTTTTTCTTTCGTATCATTCACATCTGAAAAAATAGAAAATTACATAATATTTCTAAAATAAGTTCAATATTTTTTATTTCTATTTCATTGAAACAAAATAATATAAATTTATAAATTGAAATATAAATTTTATTTATATTCCAATTTTTTTTCACCTTTTTCGACTATTTTGAAAATTTGTTAGCTTTTTTAACTTTTTTTTTTAATATTCGATATTTAATATTTCAAAAATAATTTAATTTACAATGAAAAAACATTGATTTAAGCTCAGGAATTTATTTTTTAGTTTAAAAAGACTTTTTTTAACATTTTTGATCTTATATTATAATTCAGATTACAGATTTATATATTTTTTTTATAAATGATTTAATCAATGCAAAATTTAATTTATCCAAATTTGAATCTATTTAAATTTTAATTTAGCCGAATTTTTATTTACCATAAAAAGTAAAAAATTTATTTGCTCCAATAACAAAATTTTAGGGAACTAGAAATTCTGTTTAATATAAATTTTGATTAAATAGAAATTTAAACAAAAATTTGGTTAAATAAAATTTGTTTTAAATTAAAATTCAATTTCAATTGATTTGAGAAATTATTTTTAAAATACTATAAATTAAATATTAAAGAAAAATAATTTGTTGAATTCAATTTTTGTGAATTATAAATTTTGATAAATAAGTTTTGAATTACTATAAATTTGATTGAATAAAAATTTGTTTATTATTTAATATTACCAGATCCACCATTTTCTTCTAATTTAGCTGTAATTAATCGATTTTCTTCCTTTAATCTTTCAATTTCCTTGTAAAGATAACGTTTGTCCTTATTCGAACCATTGTTCCTGTCATCTTCACACGTACTATCAGTCTCTTTTCTCAAATCTCCTTTTATTTTTTTAAGTGATTTACTTGTATTATGCATTCGTCGATGACGAATTCCATGAACTGGTTCAAGTTCACCTTCATTTTCCACTTTTGTTTTACTGTGCTGCTGCATTATTAAATAAATTGTAAACAATAAATATAAATTATATAACACACGCATTATAAAAATAATAGTAAATTTAATGTCACTTTATTTTATTATTAATAAATAAAGAAGTGTTAAAAAAAAATTTTAATTATTAATGCTCTTTAACTTAATAATTAATATTAATTAATTAATAATAAAAAGTATTTAAAATATTTTGAGGTTAAGTTTACGTCATTATTTAATCAAAGTATACGTATTATTAAATTAATTTTTGTTTGAAATTAAAATCATATTATGATATCATCATATTATTAAAATCATAAATTAATTATTAAAATTTTATATTTACCTTTCGTCTGGAACGTTTTTCTGAGTTAAAGTTTGGAATAGGAATTCCATGAAAGTATGACATGTTAAAAGTAAACAAAACATTTACTTTAACGTCATCTCATACAGTAATTCGCGTGCATTTTTATATTGTAATTGTTTTTTTTTTTACAATAAATAAATAACAATTTACATTTTAAACTGAGGTTAAAGCTTAGAGATAAACACAATTGTTGACACTGTTGACATTTTATCAGTAGCTATGGCAACCGGACAACATCTGCTATGATGGCGCCACATGTATTGGCGCGAATTATTTTAAATTTCAAATACCACAAAAATTCACAATTTTTTCTATTTCAATAAATAAAAATAATAAATAACAATTTTAGAAAATTAAAATATTTAACAAATATTCGTATATTAATATGTAACTGTATTTAATATGCAGTAAATTAAATTTTTATAATTATGAATTATAATATTATTTAATCATAAAAAAAAAAAAAAATGCATAACTTAAATTAATATACAATAATAAATTTTAATAAATTATCATTAAATATAAGTTGGTAAAAATAAATGAATAAAAAAAAATAATAACACTGAGTGAGAAAAATTTTTATGTTAATTTAAAATAGGGAAAAAATTATTTACCTGAAACAACGAAACATTTCACTATAATAGTAAAAAATTTTTCTTGTTTCAGTTAAATCTTTTGCTATTCTAGTAAAACTTTTCGCTGTTTCAGATAAATATTTTTTTTCCTTGATATAATGAAGAAAAAAACACTTATTGTTTTTCAACATTTTTCTAAAAATGTTTCAAAATAATATGCAAAAATATTTTCATTTTTATAGATATAATAACCAGTTTCTAAATTTCCAAAGAAACAAATAAAATAATTTTTTTTCCTTGTCAGATAACCCAGTTTTTTCCAGAAATGGCATATAAATTTTCGATATTATGTTTCTATAACTGATATATATATATTGTTTGTTGTTTATCTATTTAGTGATAGGTTTATAAGCGTAATTAAAGTAAGCGTTTTTTTTTTACTTTTAAATTGTTTTTGAATGAAAACGCGTGCACAAGATGACAATAACTATAGTCGATCAAAAGTTTCCAAAAGTAATGTGAATACAATAACAAAATAGTATTTTGTTAACAAAAAAAATTTTTTCATCAAAATAGCATTAAAATTATTAGGATTCAACAATAATAAATATTTTCAAAAAAATTATAATCAACGTTTCAATATAATTATTTATTGATATAGAGAATATTTTTTTCTTATTTTAATAGGAGTAAAATAAAGAATGTTTATTAGTCGATGGACAAGAACTTTTCCATTTTCTGGTAATGTCAATTTTATATTATTTTTTGTTTATATTTTTGGAAAATTATTCAAGTCCTATTTTTAAAATTATTTACTTATTTATTTATTGAATTAATTTAATAAATTTTAGTAAAAAAAAAAAAAATTATTTACTAATATTATTTCCATTTTGTTTTATAAAATTAATTGTTAAAATAATAAATACAATAATCCGAACTGAAATTTTATTTGTAATAATTTTATTAAGTGAATTAGTTTTTTTAATTAAATTAATTTATCCACTATTTACATTTTATAAATGAATTATGAAAATAAATTTATTTCTTTAATTGATTTCTAATTAATTTATTAAAAATTATGAAATCTAATTAACTAATAGCCAATTGAAAATAATATCGTATATTTCAATTAATTTATTTCATTTTGTAACAAAATATTTTATTAGTTTGAAAATTTTTGTATCTTTCAGTGAATTTGGTCATTAATTAAATATTTTAAATTGTTTATATAAAATTTTTCTTGAATTGTATTTAAATAATTTAGCTAAAATTTAATTTTAAAATAAATAATTTTTAAAGAAAAAATAGATTATTCACAATGAGAAACTTTTGAGCGTTATTTTTTTGAATATTTCAATTCATTTAGGATAATAAAAAGTAATTTAAATAAAATAAATATTTTTTACATGAAAGAAAATGATAAGAACTTGTTTCTCTTCGTGTGCGTAATATATATAATATTCTGTTTATTTTTTTTTTTTATACTTTATTCACATAAGTTCACTAATTATATTTCATTATCTATCTTGTTAATAATTATTCGACTTAACGTAATTTGTCAATAAACATATAATTTAGAGAAAAAAACAAACAATGTTTCAAAATAATATGGATAATTAAAATTTCATAATAATTTATTTTTTTTATTTTGACCAAAGATACATAATTCGACAATTTTTATTTATTGATTTTTTTTATTTTATTTGTAAGAAATTATCAATTTAAATTAATTTTAAAAAAATGTGTTAATAATTCTATGAAATTGAAAATTTTGTTTTAATAAAAATACTATTAAAAATAATTAAATAATTAATTTAATAATAATAAATAATTAAATAATAATTATTTAATAATTACTACTATTTTTGTAAATAAACTGGAACTGAGATAGAAAATAATAAATGCTAATTTTTATTAAGAATCAGAAAGTTATGTTTGAATTTTCTTTCAGAAATTTTCTTTATTCTTTGCTTTCTGCTTATTTTTTTAAAGCAAAGTAATGCTCAGGATCCAAATTGTAATTTTTTACTTGACGTACAACCAGGAAAATCATATTATATAAGGAGTCCTAATTATCCACAAAATTATTATGGAGAAAATAATTGTAAATGGGATATCAAAAGTTCTTATAAATTGAGCTTTAATTGTGATATATTTGATGTTCCTCCGGTGAGATATTTAATTTTTCAGTTATCACTTATCATTCTATCGATCAATTTTTTAATAATTAATTAAGTAATTTTAATTTAAAAGTAAAAAAAAAGTATTTTGCAAATATTTTTTCCATTTCTGTGAAAATTAACTACAAAATTATTTTTTAATTTATTTAAACAATTTACTTTTTATTTTCCAATTTATCAAATTTCTTTTTAGTCTTTTTTATAACTTAAGTGCTTTTTTTTATTAAAAAATCGTAAGTAAAAAAATTAGTTAAAATTAAAACCAAGAAATATATACGAAAAATAAATTTAAATTTAAACAAATAAAAATTGTTTAAAAAAATGAAAAATATGTTGCAAACTATTTAAAATAAACAAAACAATAAAAATTAAACAAAGCAAAACTAAATGATTATATATAATATATATATAATTTAATGAAATTTATAACAGGTTTACAATACTTGTCAATATGATCATGTCCTCTTTTATGAAAATCCAAGTGATACAAATAAAGTTCCATTACGTTTATGTGGAAATGGTACAGTTTCAAGAAATTCCGAGGGAAATAGTTTGTTAATTACTTTTCGAAGTTACTATAATTCACCAGGTGGAAAATTTTCATGTATCGTCGAAGCAATTGATGATGAAAATTGTCGATGTGGTTGGAAAAATCCGGTATTTATATATAAATTAAAAATTTATGGGAAAAAAAATCATTAAACGAAAATAAAATTTATTAAATTCGAGCGTACGATTATTCTACAAAAATAATTAGTTAGCATTTTTAATTTAAAGAATTTTATTAGATATAATTATTTTTTAGACGAATTTTCATTTTTCGTATTAGCCTTTGAATTTATTTTTAAACGAATTTTTAATTAATAAAATTTTTAGATACTGAACTTTTTACCCAACTTTTTATTTAAAAGAATTCTTATTTAATCGAATTGAAATTTAGCATTCATTAAACAGAATTTTCAGTGATACGAATTTTTAAATGTAAAAATTTCTAATTCACTGAATCTTCATTTGTGCGAATTTTTATTTGATATAATTTTTAAAACAACGATTCTTTATTTGTCCGAAATTGCAAATGTCCGAACAAACAATTGACAGAAAGATTTTGGCGCGATTTTTAAAATTGACCAATTAGAAATTATCAAGAAAATCGTGATTGCGGTAAATTTTAAAAATCGCGCCGAAATATTTCTGTTGATTGTATATGTATATTCGGTTGTTTGCAATTTCGGACAAATAAAGCTTCGGCGGTTTTAACAATTCTATCAAATAACATAATTTGTACACTGAAATAAAATGTATTTGATTTAATTTTAAATAATCTCTTTTCATAAATTATTATCAAATAAATATTTACTTGAATTAAATAATTTTTTATTTGAATTAAATAAATTGTATTTGAACCAATAATTTATGTATTTGAAACAAATACCATCTTAAATAATAATTATTTGATATAAATAAATATTTATTTGATATTTGATACATTGATACATTTTTGTTTTCATTATACAAATAAAAATTTGGAAAAATTTAAATTCGGTGAATTGGAAAGTCTAGTATAAAATTCTATTAAATGAGAATTATGGGTAAATTAAAATTAGGTTAAATTAGAATTCTTTTAAATAAAAAGTTGTTTAAAGACAAATTCTGTAAAATAAAAATACCTAAAAATTATGCAAAGTAAAAATTCGTTTTGAAATTAATTTTATCAAAATGCTAATTTTAAAAATGAAAATTCGTCAAAGAAATGATTAAATAGAATTTTTAAAAAATGAAAATTGTAAATAATGATTTTTATGTGATAATCATGCGTACCATAAGTTTATAAAAAGTATTTTTGAAAATATTATCGCTTTTTTATAGGGGAGAATAGTCGGTGGCGAAGACGCTGGATTAAATGAATATCCAATGATGGTAGGAATCGTTGATGAAATAAATCAACAAGTTTTTTGTGGTGGTGCAATTATAAGCACTAAACACGTTTTAACAGCAGCTCATTGTTTAAAAACAAAAAATCCCAATGATTTGGGTGTTCTTATTGGCGATTATGATCTTTCCACTGGTGCGTTAAAAAAAATTAATATAAATAGAAAAATACATTTTTACTCGCAATAGCAAATAATTAGGAGAGATTTCCATATCAAAAAAAAACTTGTTATAAATTAACAAACATCCATGTATATGAAATTAGAAATCAAAATGATAAAGACCAAATTCATTTCAAATCAGGCAGGTTGAAACGTCGTTTATCTAAAATTTAGGAGGAAAAAAAAAACATTAATGATAGAACGTCCAACGTCCTTCCTGCAGGATGAAAAAGACTCAGGTGAGTCCCTCCGAAATCGCTTTCTAAAATTAACTTGGATTGAGATAAACACAAAAAAATATATATGGTTGGAAAGGTAAAGATACAAGCTTTCAGCGCATGTAAAAATTAAATTTCTAAATTCAAACCCCAAGGCTAGGCAACTTAAAGAAGTTAAATTTTTGTAAAACTGACCTAATGTTTAGTACTAGATCGTCGACGCCCGGTCCTGCCGGCAGGACTCTTCTCAGTTTATTGATACGATTACCCAGCCCTGATATTTAAATTTAGAAACTTGATATTCACATGATCTGATAGCTTTTTTAATTACCTTTCGAACCATATATATTTTTTTATGTTTATCTGAATCCATATTAATTTTATAATGTTTTTTCGGAAAGACTCTCATCTGAGTCTTTTTCATCCGTCCGCAATTGCGCTGGATACAAATCTTTATACATAGTGTTATAATAATAATACAAACAAAATTCAAGATTAAAAAAAATATATAATGCAGAAAATTTATTTGGTAATTTATGGAAATTTATGAAGTAATTTATGGAAATTTATTTGGCAATTTATGGAAATTTATGAGGTAATTTATGAAATTTTGAGGTAATTTATAATTATAATACAAACAAAAATTTAAGATTCAAAAACTATTGCAAAAAATTTACGTGGTAATTTTTGGAAATTTATGCGGTAATTTATGAAATTTTTGAGGTAATTTATAATTGTAATACAAACAAAATTTAAGATTTAAAAATTATTGCAGGAAATTTATGCGGTAATTTATGAAATTTATACGGTAATTTATGAAATTTATGCGGGAATTTATAATATCTAAAAGAAAAATTTGAAAACTAATTTTGGAAATTTATAGGGTAATTTATGGTAATTTATGAAATTTTTAAGGTAATTTATAATATATAAAATTTGATTTGGTAATTTAAGAAAATTTAATGGAAATATATGTTTTAAATAAAGTGCGTCCTGCCGGCAGGATGGCGCAATGTGCGGAGAAGCATCCTGCCGGCAGTACGCAGCGGCTTGTCCAAGCGTCCTGCCGGAAGACCCTTCCAGCAGGATGGGCGCTTGGACGTTCTATCATTAAAGTGTTATAACTTTTAAAGTAATTTAGATTTCTCATTTATTCCTTTTTGCATTTGAAAGAGCTTTCATTTTTCTTTCAAAATCCGTTGGAAAAATTAAAAAATGTTTAAATATACCAAAATGGCGGCCATTTTAATAAAAGAATTTATAACCGATTCTGGTAGAAGAGAAAAAAATTTTTCTTAAAAAATAACAAAACAATAACTAAATCACTTTAAAAGTTATAACACTTTAAAGTTTTTTCCCTAAATTTTAGATAAACGACATTTAAGCCTGCCTGATTTGAAATAAATTTGGTTTAAATTTCATTTTCTTAGGGGCTGATGCGAATTCGATGACATTTCCCGTGGAGAAATTTACCAATCATCCCTCTTATATAGCAACTCAGCGTAATAGTGATTTTGATATATCCATAATAACAGTTTACGGTAATATTCCATTTACAAATATTATTGGTCCAGCGTGTCTTCCATTTCAGCATAGTTGTGATGGTTTTAGTGGGTCTTTCGTTGAATTCTTAGGTAAATGTAGAATATATATAATGTATGATAAGCATTCTCTGAAAATAGCCCCGTCGAGTCAAAGTTTTGATTCTCTCAAACTGACGATTTTAGAGAATCTTAGAGGAGCTTGGAGAAACAAAAAAGAATCTTTTTCAATAGAATTTTGATTCTCTTTTGATTATCTAACGATGCAGATATTTATAGGACAACAAGCAAAGTATCAAGCCAATTCCAAAACTTTTTTTTTTGTGCTTTTTTTCAGAGAATACCACCCTATTTTTATTTTAGTGAGGAGGAGAATAATTTTATTTTAATATTATTCTTCTGTTAATGTATATATTTCTTAAAGGATGGGGAACGACTGAATTAGCTGGAGCAACATCAAATATTTTACAAAAAGTTGAAGTCAGTGTAATTAATCTATCAAAATGTAAAAAATCATTTCCTAATATTAATGATCATCAGTTGTGCACGCTTACCGAAGGCAAAGATGCGTGTCAGGTAAATATTCACGTAGATTTAATATGTAAGGAAAAAAAACGATGGATGGAAACGATGACCGTTACTGTCCCTAACAGTATCCAAATATTCAGGATATCCTAATTTCCGGATACGGCTAGGACGTCCATAGGATATCCTGTAATATCCGTTGCTATTAGGGATGGCAACAATGGGTACGGTAAAGTTTACCATTTATAGCAACATTTGCTATGGTAAACGTTCCCATTGTAACTATTGCCGTATAGTAACCGTTGCTAAAGTAATCGTTTCTAAAGCATCTGTTGTAACAGTAACTGTTGCTATAATAATTGTTCCCATAGCAATTGTTGACATAGAAACGGTTGCTAGAAAAGAACATAGAAAATTTTGTTATAGTTCGATAGCGGAGGTCCAGTTTTGTGGCAAAATCCAACAACACGAAGACTCGTAGTTGTTGGAATTACAGGTTATGGTGTTGGTTGTGGATCAAAAATCCCAGCAGTTAATACTCGAGTAGGTGCCTTTTTAGATTGGATCCAATCCGTTACTCAAGGTATTGAAAGATAAAAATTACAAACAGTATACCTACTATTAAATCATTATATGATACAATTAATTATATCACTGATACCTTTTGCTACTTTTAGGTGTAAATTACTGCAAGGCTGAGTAATTTTAACAGACAGTCACTATATATAGAAAGAGAAAAATATCTAACCAAAAATAAAAAAAAGAAAATAAATGATCAATGTATTTTAAAGGAAAAATAATAGAAATAAAAGTGTTACACTGAGCAAAAAGAAAGAAAAAGTTCCTTAATCCTTTTCCAAGTTGATTTTTAACTTCATTTATTTTATACCTTATTACATTTTATATGTAAATTAATTTTGAGTTTTTTTTTTGTACTTTAATAGCAGGTAAATTTTAATTGAGTTTTTAGAACTCAACTCTTTATAGCTTTATTTTTCTTATCGTCTGACAATCTGAATAATTATTTAAGTTAGTTACACGTACCCATACAATACATATATGCTTTTTGATAAAAGTTGGTGGCTATACGACCCAGTTTATAGCAAAGGTCATAAATACCTTCAATGCCAATGGAAAATATTAAATTACATATTATCATTTTCTGATAATTTTAAAAACATCGTTATACAATATATGGGACTGATATGATGTAATTTCCATTAATTCTCAGAATATGTATGTTTGACTTGCAACAATTTGCAATGCAAATTAGATATTTATTCAGATATCAAATTTTCATTACAACATTGTACAAAACATTATTTTACAAAGTTAAATTCTTTTAATTAAATGAAGATTGTACAACTCAGTAAAAAAAATGCAACCAATTTAATAATTATTTAGTACAATATTTTCAATTTATTATGAATTTATTATTATAATAATTATAGTTAGGATATTTTTCAATTAAATATGATTAAAGTTTAATAATTTTTAAATAAAGATCAATGTAGGTATTATGAGAATAAGTAACAATTCAGATAACTTAAAACTTTTTATTAATATAACATATGGAATGTAAACAAAATCAGGTACTTAAAAACAGCCTTTGTTGAAAATTATTCAGCTCTGCAATATACGGCACCTAAAACAATTAATTGTCTACGTAAATATAGAGTAATTAAAATTTTTTATTTTTAAGTACGTTTTTCGGTGACTTTCAATTTAATTTCTATAGTATTTCAAAGGGCATTGAAATTTTTATCACATTTTAATTATTATTTTAAATTATCAAAATTACCTGGTGTTACCGACAAAATCCAGTCCATAAAAGCACCTACACGAGTATTTACTGAAGGATTATTTGTACCGCAAGCGATTCCATAACTAATAATTCCAACATTCACGAGTCTACCCGTTGATGGATTTTGCCACAAAGCTGGACCACCACTGTCAAACTAAAAAATGAACAAAAAATTTTGTTACACTTTTCAAAGTGTTATTTGAATTTTCGTTAAACATTTATATAAATTTTACCTGACATGCATCTCTACCTGGTGCAAATGTGCACATTTGATTATTCAATACATTGGGGTATGTATTTCTGCATTGCGAAAGATTGATGATATTCACTTGTGCTTTCTGTAAAATGTTTGAAATGCTACCAGCAAATTCAGTTGTGCCCCAACCTAAGATGATATAAAAATTTTTAATTTAAAATTTAATTCATTTTTCTTACATTATAAAAAATAAAATATACAAAAATGAAATGTACAATGTATAAGAAAATATTTGAAGTTAGAAATATCTTTAATTTTTCGTCAAAATTTAATTACAAAAGTATATATAAATCCAAATAGGATAATACTGTTTCTGAAATATTGTATACAACTGCAGTTTTTATTTTCCAATAACTTCAGAAGAAATTTCTAACAGTGTAGAATTTAAAAATTAATTCTCATTCCGAATAATTCACAAACATGTAATCGATTTTTTATATTTCAAATTCTTTAGTTTTACAAAGAGTTATAACAATTCTTTGGTTTAAAATTTTGAACAGATTAATTCCGTATTACTGTGGGCTAATACCGGATTTTTCGCATAAAGATTTCGGATTATTCTGAACTCATTTCGGAATTAGTTTTTTGACAGAACTGAATCCAGATTGTTGTGTACTGTTTCGGATAATTTATCTACAAATTCCGAATTCTTTTGACCTCATTTCGAATCATATTTTTTTTTGATCGAACTAAATCCAGATTGTTGCAGACTAATTACGGATTGATTTCGTGTCAATTCCAGACTGATATCGACACGAAATCAATCCGTAATTAGTCTGCAACAATCTGGATTTAGTTCGATCAAAAAAAATATGATTCGAAATGAGGTCAAAAGAATTCGGAATTTGTAGATAAATTATCCGAAACAGTACATAACAATCTGGATTCAGTTCTGTCAAAAATCTAATTCCGAAATGAGTTCAGAATAATCCAAAATCTTTATGCAAAAAATCCAATATTAGCCCACAGTAATCCAGAATTAATCTGATAAATAATTACTCCTGTTGAATCCGAAATTAATTTGGCCTGTGTAACTAGTAAAATCCGGAATCTGCATTCACTAGTTGCGTTTGTTCACACTGACTTTGGATTAGATCTGATTAATTACGGATTCACTAGTTACACAAACCGGACAAACTGTTACGGACTATTGTCAGATTAGTCTGGAATTTGAACCAGGGAACAATTACTATGGCTACATTGTTAGAAATTTTTGTTGGAATTTTTAGAAAATAGCAATTGAAGTTTTAAGCAATTACATACATGTTTCCAAAAATTTTCAAAACGTTTCGTAATTTTCAAAAGCATTTGAATGTATAAATTTTTAGTGACAAAAAATTTTGTTACCGTTTCTGAATTTTCTAAAGCATATCTGTTAGAAACTTTAGTTGTACGTTTCTTAAAATTTTGTTACACTTCCATAATTTTTATGATCGTCACATAATTACCCAAAATATTGACAACAGCTCCACTAAAACTATCTTGACTGTGTTGAAATGGAAGACATGCTGGACCAATTTCATTTGTGTATCTTATAGTTCCCAGGATGGTTATAACACTGATATCATAAGGACTATTTCGTATATTTGATCTAAATGAGGGATGCATAACATATTGAGAGACTTTAAAAAGAGTTGAATTTGTATCACGACCTAAAAATTTAAAATTTTTATAGAGATTATTGATCAATTTACCGAATATAATAATTATTTTTTATTATTTCAAAATTATTATAAAAATATTATGTACCAGTTGAAATATCGTAATCACCAATAAGCACACCCATATTTGAAGGATCTCTATTCATGACACAATGAGCAGCTGATAAAATATGTTTAACAGAAATTATTGTCCCACCGCAGTAAACTTGAGATAATCTTGCGTCAACAATTCCTGCCATCATTGGAAATTCGTGTAATCCAGTATTTTCACCACCAACTATTCTCATCTGTGAAAGACAAAAAACAAAAAATTTTCAATAAGAATCTAAAAACCTATAAGAATCACTCTAATCAATCTGAGAAATAAAAATACTGTTGTAACGTGTTTATTAGTTTATCAGTAATAACTGATAAGTGATTAGTGTTTTTATACCTACCGGTTTTTTCCAACCACATCTACAATTTTGCTCAGATCCAATTGCTTGTATGTAACAAGAAAATCGTCCTCCAGGTGTGTTCCTTGCACTTTGAAAAGTAACCACTATTTCTGGACCATCCGAATCTCGACCGAATCTTCCTGCTCCACATAATCGTAAAGGTCCTTGTCTTGGACTAAGATACATGAGAACTTGATCCAATGCACAATTAGTACTCTATTTAATGATATTAATAATTAGGATTCACTGGATATTTACAATATAGTTAAATATTTAAAATAATTATTCATTTATTTTGAAAGAATAGAACTTAAAAAAAAGCGAAAAAATTTTTTTGGAATTTTTGAGAAAATTTTGAGAGAAAAATCCTAATGAGATTGTAACAGAAGAAATTAGTAAACTCTGGAATAACATTGTTCCAATAAAGTTAAGGACAATGTAGGCGTTAATTTCAAATAAAAAAGAGGGAAATAGCGCGCAGTGATTAGTAGTTATGTACCGCGCATTGCAGTTAAAATTCCGGACTGGTTCCGAACTAATCCGAAACAGTCTGGTTTGTGGTCAAGTTTTTGTCATCCGTAATTAGTCCGGTTAAGTCCGAAATTTGCCCGATTTATGTAATTAATGAATTTGGAAATTAATTTCGAATTAATATTCGGCCGGATTAATTTCGAATTCAAAAGAATTTACTACTCGCACACAAATAATACTAATTTTGGACTTAATCGAACTTATTCCTGATAAATGAAATTTGACTAGAAACGGGATTGTTTAGAATTAATAATGGATTTTGGAAGTTTTACCAAAGTATCGACCATATTGGTTAGAAGCTCAGAGTAGAGAAAAAATCTGACCGGACTAAATCCAAATTATTGTGGAATAATTACAGATTTCTTATACGTACAGAATGTCGGATTATTCCAGACTCATTTCGTATTCAGATATTTAAGCGGACTGAATTTATTTAGATTGTTATACGAAAACAGGCCGAAAATGATATATGAAATAATTTGAATTTAGTGCGGACAAAAAGACTAATTTGAGACAAGTCCGGAATAGTTTGAAACTTCTATATGAAAGCAATCCGTAACAATATACGATTTTAAGTTGATCAAAAACTTAATCTAAAATGAGTACTGAATAATCCGGAATTTTTATCTGAAAGATCTGGTATTAATCAGTAAAAATCCGATTTTAATCTGGTCTAAAATTCTAAATCCAAAATGAGTCCGGAAAAATACGGAACTTGTATGTATAACATTATCATTGTTGAGGATTTATACCAAATTTGTACATACAGATTTTTAATTAATATTCATCTGACTAAATCTGGATTCGTTAGATACAGAGTTCTGATTATCTCTGACTCCTTTTTGATTAAGATTTTTGTTTGATCTGACTGCTAATTTTGTACTTAAGATTTTCCGGATTCATTTAAAACATACGACATTACTGTACGAATTTGGTTCAGGCAATTTTACAGGAAACTACATAGTTTGTTATGTAGGGAACCGTAAGGGAAAACACAAAGACATGTCCATGATTTTAGCCTTCCCACGTAGAAAACTTTGTGTTTTCCCTTACGATTTCCTACATAGTAAACTATGTAGTTTCCTGTAAAATTGACTGAACCAAATTCGTATAGTAATGTCGTATGTTGTCTGGGAGCTTTCTTAAATGCATTCCACGTAGAAAGAATTTGTTTACCAGATTATATCCGAATTAATGCGGACTTCTACCGGATTTGTCACATAAAGATTTCATATTATTCCGGACTCATTTCGGATTCAGTATTTTGACGGTAATGAATTTAAATTCATTATTCTGGAATTATTTCGGATTGAGATTTTTGATATAACTACTCTCTTAATCTGAATCAGTGGAAATTTTACTGGGTACAATTTAGGGGCTCAGTTCTCATTGTACGAACCAGTGATTTTCACTAATTCCCAGTGAAAATCACTGATTCAATCATTGGGAAGTGAGTTACTAATTAAAATCAGTGATGATTCTCACTGATTCAGATTAAGAGTGTAAATTCAGATTGTTGAGGACTAATTGCGGATTCATTTCATGTCAATTCTGGATTGATCTCGGAATTGTTATTTTCGTCCTTATTGATTGCGCTGACTAATACGGTTCATTTTCGGACTAATCTGTTTGGAGTTACTCTGGAATTAGACCGAAATTTTAATCAGGAATATTACATCTATGTTGTCGTCAACTATTATATACTGCATATTTATTTCCACCTATTGGGATTGGCTAAACTTCAATACGCCATCTGGTGTGTACCTACTTCGGACAACCATTTTCCTTTTTCATCTTTCTTTAATTAACACGATAGAAAGAGAAATAAAAACTAAAATGTCTGACGAAGTAGGTAAAAGTCACTAGACCGCCAATCCCAATAAATAAAAATTTGTTTGGAAAAATATCTCACCGAAGGTACTTCGAATACTTCACAATTTACTCGAAGTTGAGATGTACTTCTAATATTCCATCTGCAAGAATGTGCTCCAGTATACATATTGGGATAATTAGGACTTGCTATGTAATATGTCCGCCCAGGTAGTACGTCCATTTGAAAAAAACAATTTGGATCAACCGCATTACTTGTATGTCCAAAAATGAGCAAAATGCCAAGGGATAATAAAATTTCTGCAAAATGGATTAAATAAATAAAAATATTTATTTAAATTATATAAATAAACTTCTGTTTAAAATATGATTAAAAAAGGTATTATTGTTGAAAAAATTTGTTTAAAATAATTTAAAAAAAGCTTGTTTGTATAAAAAACAATGCGTTTGAAGTAAAACAATTTTCCTTGATTATATACGCTGAGAAAAATATGTTATTGAGTCGTTAATATAATAATATTATATAATATTGTTATATACATATATTATAATTAAAATATTATATATATATGCAAGTAAACTTGCACGGTAAGCTTGTAGCAAGGTTGGTGCACGGTTGCCAAATAACATTGAAAAAATTTTTTTTTAAGTTCAAAGCAAGGTCATTTGGCAACCTTGCACCAAATTTGCTACAAGCCTACCGTGCAAGTTTACTGAGCAATCTTGCAATAATCTTATTGTGCAATCTTGCAGTAATCTTGCACTGCAATCTTTCTGGTATACAGTTTACATATTTTAAAGCATGCTTTTAATTAAATAATTTTCATTCTTTTTGCAGAAATTTTGTGGATTCAATATGATATTTTCCTCAATGTATAAATGCTTTACAGCTGTAAAACAAATAAAGACCTTGTTTTTCTTTGCATGAGTATTAAAATAAATAGTAAATTAAATTTTTAAGTTACAAGAAAGGTAAATTTTTTTATTTTATCTGAAAAAGAAAATTTTATATAACTTTAACTCTCTGAATTAGTGAAAATTTCAACTAATTTGAATTAGTGAACAAATTTTCTCACTAATTCAAATTTAAAAAGTACAAATATAGGAAATATATATATATTTATACAAATTTTAATGAAACAAATATTAAAAATAAATTGACTTACTTAATTGATTCATTCTAGTGTCAATTGAAAAATGTTCTCTCTTAAAAATTTATTTTGCTTTTTATCCTCTTCCAAAGACTTTAATATACGGAAAACCCTTGTTTCCTTAAAAAACCAACGTCTTATCTTGAATTTATGTATATCGTTTACAGTATATATAAAAGAGAAATAAACACAAGTGCTATTGGTTTAATTGTCAAATAATAAAGATTTAAAAAAAAAAAAATTTGTGGCTTCTTCGAATCATATATAAAAATGATATTATTGCGCTATTATAAACAAAAAATAGTAATCCTTTTTGTATTTTGTTTCTGATAAGTATATATAAACTTACGTGATGACATTTTTTTTAACTGTCGAAATTTTCCTTTATTACACTCCAATACATTACTCTTTATATGCTGGATGCATCGTGCTCTCAATATTTTGCAAGTTTTATATATTTATATATATTTTCATCTATATACCTGCATGAACGACTCTGGCATATCTATTTCGCTGATAACAGTTGTGCATAATTTATAGATAGTTCACACTTTTTCAAGAGCATAAACAAATAACATTATTTCCTTGTAAAATAATAATAATCTAGATATATGTATAGATATGCCAAAATCATAATACATTTTTCTAGTAATTTAATTTATGTAACAGAAAAAAACAATAAAAAGTGATAAAAAAAACGTCATAAACGAAATTTGATTGCATTTTTTGTTTTGGTTTATTTTTTTTCCCAAAAATTCATTAGTTCGTATTTTATAAAGATATAAATTTTTATCAAAATTTCAATATAACGGAATTTTTATTCTACGAACTTTACACTGAAAAAAAATTTATTTGATCCAAATAATTATCAGTTACTTGACTAATATCAAATAAATATATTTATTTGTATTAAATAATTACTTTAGTCAATCAAATGGTATTTATTTCAAATACAGAAATTATTGGCTTAAAGACAGATTATTTATTTTTAAAAAATTATTTGCTTCAAGTAAATATTTATTTAATAATTGACAAGTAATCAATTATTTAAAGAAAATAAATTCTTTCTCAGTGTATATTTAGTCGAAATTATAGTTTTCTTTTACTGAATTGAATACACTGAAAAAAATTTGGAGCAGTTGTTGTACCAAAAATATTTCAGTTTAGGTGAATAACATTTTTTAATTAATAACTTATATGAGCATTTAAAATTATATGTTCTGAATTTCCCGCACAAATAAATTATCTACTATACCGATAGTTCATAAATTGGAGACTCGACGGAAAAATCAATTAATATAAATAAATCGTAATTTAAATACATTTTTTTATATAAGGAAAAAATAATCAATTTGTGTACTTTTATTTATACCTATAATTTAATCACAGATTCTCAATATTTTGATGTAATAAAAAAATACTTTACAATTTTATATTATCTCTTATTTGGAAATAATCTTCTTTTTATATTGCTTGTTATTATTTGTTCGCGGCTAATTTAACAAATTTCTAAAATTATCTTTTTGTTGAATGTATAAGGCTTTTTTTTAATATAAATTTTCCTGTAACAAACACACGTGCTTGTGAGACAATTTACTATATAGTTTTCCTGTTAAATTTAATAATTAAAATTTTATACATACTATATTGCAATATTTATTACTTATTTTAAAATTTGTTTAAACAATTTCTATAAGAATATTAATACAAGTTCAATGCGCCCCCACAGCACCGAAACTTTCCTAAAAATTTCCTAAAGATTTATTTGAAATGTTCAGAATATTTATCTGCAATGTTTAGTAAAAATTGTGTACAGATTTAAATTACCCACTTTAAAAAATGTTTAGCGCAAAACTTTCCCGAACATTTAAATAAAATTTTCGTCTAATTATGATTATAATTATAATTAGGAGAAATTTACATTTAAATGTTCAGGAAAGTTTCAAACTAAACATTTATTTAATCGGGTATTTAAATCTTTACACAAGTTTCACTAAACATTGCAATTGTCACGTCACCGTAACTTTTACATTCATAATTATAAGAATTCTTTTTTTTTAATCAATACTGAGTTGTATGTCTCTGCGACAAACACCCGTGTTTTTGATACGCATCTAAAATACCTTTCACTGAAATGTAAAACTCCCGCCCCTTTGTCGCGCGGCTAAACATCTTTTCTTTTATATATAAAGACCCCTGCGTTTTGTATCCTACTACGTTCATATATTGTATTTCTAAAAATATATAATTGGAAGCAAGAAATTCAGTATTTCCTTAAAAGGGCATAAACGAGTGTCCCTTTCCTACAACTGCGATTTGACACGAAGGCGCTCTCTTTCTAATATACTCATGTACTACCCCTGTAGTGTTTTTCGCTTACACCTGCGATTCCATGACAGAGGTGTGCTCTTTCTAATTCTGTATTATCATCAGACAAACCCTCTTTTGCGCTTAACTAAGAGAGAGAGAGAGATAGAACTAGCAACACAAGACAATAACATTTCATAGTCTCTCTTACGAAAACTTGATATAAAACTTGATATATCTAGTACCAGCTGTGTTACTCTGCTCGATTTCATAGACTTAGAAGAATCTCTGTGTCAAGTGTTAAAAGTTTCTACGTCAAGAAGAGCTGATTCAAGTATTCAAGGATTTGATTTCCCATAATGTTTGAAAATAATTTTTTCTTCCTTTTCTGGAAAAATTTAATAGTTTGTGTTTCATTACGGTCAACTGAACTCCGGACCTGTGGTCATCACCAAGGCCCGTCAACCTTCCTGTGATCATAATTAGGACACAGCAGTGGTCCTTTTTCATACATCTTACATCTAAATTTTCAAGGTAAGTTGTTATACTTTTTATCTAAATCCTTCCTAACTCCGTATAAAAATTTGTAGTAGCGTTTACATTCCTTGTTGCAGTGGAATGCTGACAACCCCTTATTTCAAGAATGGTTGCTTCAGCACAATCTCTCTCAAAGATCAATTTTATAAACCTAAATGTTTGTCTAAATAAATTTTGTAACCTTGTCATTAAAAATCACTATTCTCATTCTTTCCTGCACCCTTAGCTCAGAGCCTTCTGTTCTGTAAATGAAACAGGAATTCACTGAATCACCGAGCGGCCATAAGTAAAATAAAATATTATTTCGTTAGTTATTTCTCTATTTAAGTATTGAAATCTGGACATTTTTATATTTCCAGGATGAGATAGCTTTCTTATGATGTATTTGGCAGCAAGCGTGGATATTCGAATAGTAAATAAATGATGAGAACATCCAGTGGTATAAATTATGCAATTTCTTGCACAGACTACACCGAAAAGTGTAGAAAAAAATTGACTCCCAGATCCGAGTAGAGGAAGAACCTTTTTACCACCAAAAACGCATACAAAATCTTAAAAAACTTACCAAAAAAAATTCAATTTTTCTTAGATAGACAATTTTATTGCATCTTCATGCACAGAATACACCGAAAAGTGTAGAAAAAAATTGACACCCAG